TTAAATTGAAACAGGCGCGTACGTTTAAGTGAGTGCAAAAGACTATGAATAAGTTGGGGTACTATAGTCGTTTATTAAGCTAATATTAAGCAAATATTCATGTATACACACACACACATATTTATGTATATATATATATATATATATATATATATATATATATATATATATATATATATATATATATATATATATATATTATATTTCTTTTTTCTATGAGATTCTATTCTATTTTTAAAAGCTTAAGTATTTAAAATAGATTAAAAATCATAACTATATCCCGAGTTGCCATCACCTGTTGTTTCATATAAGAATATTCGAGAAAGTTTAAGGGAGATCACTCCCGGTTATTTTAACAATTCGTTTGAATTCCACATTGGTTTAGAAAGTTACAAAGCATTTCATCTGCTGATTTTAATCTGAACGGCATGGGCGATGCCGCTATCATTAACACGGTTATTACTGTTTCTTCAACCAGTACAAATTATTCTGCATTGTGTTATTCACGATGTGCGAAACTCCAAGATTTTGAGCTTGTGTGTCAGTTGGATTCCAATATGTTTCATCCAGCTTGTTTCATAATACAATCAGCCAGTCAACGAAATACCCATATCATATTCCAATATTTACAATAAATGTTTTTGATAATTTGCTATTGTGTATTAATGTGTAACCTTATTTTAACAAACTTAAAATCCAACGATGTAACATATCATAACAGAGACTGTTCCAAAGATAGAACATAAAAGACTTCAATAAACAATTAAGACCCTTCTACAAACTACCCTCTAAACTCAAAGCAAGCATATCTCCCTATATTATTAAGCTTTTTGAAAAGAATAACGCATCTAAAGGGGAATTTGATTGGCATCGAGTAAAGTTTTAGGAACGAATACATCGTAATTATTAATTTTTTTTTCCGGACTGTCACTCACGCACACACACACACACACACAAATTTTCATGTACCTACTTTCACGCATGTGAGGTCCCCGCTGTCCATTTTGGGTCTAAACATAGGTGGTAAAGTCCAGATGGTGGAGCTGAGTTATTGAGGCGTTGTATTACACACACAGAATATTTAGTTTGTGGTACTTGCCTAGTTGAAAACAAGTAGATTTGTAAAACAAACACACACACATACACACATACTCACACACACATTGAAGGTGATGACGCGTGTGGTGTGGTTGGCTAGACATGCCTACTAATTCGGTCCAAATTTTAATTAATTCATAAAAAATTAATTAGGCATCCAATTAAGTCAAATTTAGATTCAGATTGCATTGTCTTCATGTCTTGACCCACGTGCCAACTGTGAATCGTATCGGTCAAGTAGAACTGTCCGAATTTTCACTCCTGCGTTTCCGTCTAGACAGACTGACGACTGACGAGGAAGTGAGTTAAATAAAAGCTTGTAATAAATTATAGACTACTATTTAAATAACTATAAAGAAAAGCGTGGGTCACTTTAGTATCTATTGGATACCTTAACTAATGTTAAGGAAGACACCCACGCTTTTCTTTATAGTTATTTAAATAGTAGTCTATAATTTATTTTCTACTTTTTAGTGCATCATTACATAAAAGCTTGTTATTAAAAACGTTTTTTATGAATTTTTTTCAGTACTTTACATGTTTTATTTACAATAGAGTTACATGACTAAACACCATTGCACGCCTACTGAACATCACGTTCAGTAGGCGCGCAATTGTTTTTGAACGCAGCCATTACGTGATGGCGCAGCTATTGAAGGTGATGACGCGTGTGGTGTGGTTGGCTAGACATGCCTACTAATTCGGTCCAAATTTTAATTAATTCATAAAAAATTAATTAGGCATCCAATTAAGTCAAATTTAGATTCAGATTGCATTGTCTTCATGTCTTGACCCACTTGCCAACTGTGAATCGTATCGGTCAAGTAGAACTGTCCGAATTTTCACTCCTGCGTTTCCGTCTAGACTGACGACTGACGACTGACGAGGAAGTGAGTTAAATAAAAGCTTGTAAAAAACGCATATTTATATACATTTTTTTTTATTGTAATGGTCTCACTATTTAAGATTATTTGTTTGAATAAAATCTAGCTTAATCAAACCGGAAATCATTTTGTAACTATTTCACAATTTTTTTATAAAATATTTAAATTCCTTTTATAAACTTTCTGGCAATTTTGAACCGCATTTCAAGCCTATTAGTATTTTTAAAGTAGGTTTTTTCAACTCAGCAACCATTTAAATGACTAGTGGTTATAAATTTAAGTTAGCTGTATTATAGCTACACAGAGAGTAAATATAACTCCACTTTTGCACATTCTACAACCTATTATATTACAAAATATAATAAGTTTAAAATTATAATAAATATAAGTCTACGTTTCTGTATGTTGTAATGAGAATTCATTGCAATTAGAGTATGAGTTTGGATGCCCGAAGCTCATTCAACTTTTAATTACAAGTTCCCTTAATTAAGAAGAGTACTGGGAATAACATTCACTCTATTGTCACCATGGTTGAATAGATTTTGGCATCCAAAACGTGAAATTTTATTTTCATTAGTGAAAGCGTCAGATATAAACTAAAAATATTTACATTTACATCTTTAAAAGACAAATGTATTATATTGTAAGCATAGACTTAACAATATTTAGTTTAACTGAGGAGAAAATTTTAAAACACACTTTTGTTTAAAAGCATTCTGCGGAAATAAAATAGGCATACGTGAATGTAAACTTTTGATCATAAGGAAATGGTATATATTTAAAAAACCATACTAATAATTAACTCATTATCGCCATCTTGTCCCGTTCAAGCCTAAGACACATGGAGCAGATGAAGTGGAGTCCGCCGGTTTCAATTTCCTTGGCATTAAAGGATAGCTGGTCAGTACTATGCCCAGCCGCCTTGGTTTCCCTAGCGTTAGTTGTGTACCCATCAAAGATGTATAGACTCATGGACTTTCAATAGATACGAGCCCCAGTTTCGAAATCGAGACTTTAGGATTAGCTGTCGCATGCTCTACTATTCGACCACGTCGTTCCTTAAACATTTCCTTTCTTTCATACAAGCTATTGTTACTAAATATGTAAAATAACTCATGTGCGACCGAGGCATTTATGAAACAAAGCAAGTAAGCTTAATTTTCTCATTTCAGTGCCTATAAAAGCTTGTTATTAGAAATGATTTTATTTTACCCAGTCTTGCTCAAGTCACAATACTTGTCACGGCAGTTTTAGCTTTAGTCGTGGCTCGAAACATTAATTCAGGAATCCAATTACTAATCTAGCCACGATGCGTATCACTACTAATGTGAATTTTGCAATTGATTACAACGTATAATAATGTCCAATATTGACAAAATGAGACGGGGGGGAGCAACAGAAGACAAAACCTTTGTACGGGCACAAACAACATTTGTCGTTTTTTAGCCAAACTGCATGAACTCGCTGACTAAATGTGTTAACTAATATATCTTAATTACACCTTCACGAATTTTAATTTGTCCTTAATTAACATCCTACAACTTATATCTTTGGAAATGCGCATCTTTTATTAAATGGGAAATCCCAAATACTGTTTTTACACTACAACTTAAAACATTTTGAATTTGATAACATCCATACCCTTGTTGTGATTTACGGACCATTTCATTATTTGACCACAAAATATGGCCTAGATTAAGACTTTCAAGAGCATTAATAGAACTGGTAAGTTCACCTTAAGTTTTCGTTCTATACTGAAATGACTAAAAAAGAAATTTAAAATGTCAAACCCATAATGTACGAGGTAAACGGGATGTTCGATTCGTTTCGTAAATGCGTTAAAAGTGTTTCTACTAAGCATCTAAACGACAATATAGATTATAGAAGATATTAGCCCTGTGCGCGTGTCTCGGCATGAAGTCCCTTGTGTACATAAAAAATAAACTATTAAACCAATCGTCAAAAAAATAGCAATGATTTAGGGAGCAATTCGTATTCTTTGAGATACTCTGTGTCCATTTTCTGGGTGGGAACATTAAAACAAAAAGAAATTGCCAATGTCTACTTAGGTACTATGCCACCTGAGTGATCAGTTAACGCGCTAACATCTTAGCTATGGAATCTCTTATCAATTAGTAACATTATTTTGCCATATTTGGCACAGTCACCGTAATCATAAATTAAAATCTTGTTTTAATTAAATTGTATCCTAATTTAACCTATTCCGATGTTAAGGAACAAAGATTAATAAGAAATAGTTAAGGTTAGAAATAGCTCACTATAATGTGATACAGGTTTGTACATCACCTTTGCCACGACCCGTGAACTAATTAATTCATTTCTGCTTTTTACGGATTCTGACCCGCTGTCCTTATATAGGTAGATTGTGAGTGACTGACATACTTAGACTTCAATCATGTTAAGCTACTAAGGGTTAAAGGTTACAACTACACTTCTCCAACAAAAATATATTTGCTGGCTCTCTGGGCCAGTTTAAGTCTCATAGCCCTTGTTTTATTGTCAGCATTCCTTCTCAAGCCTTTTTTAGGTCTGTTGCTCTTTGTCTCTTTGGGTTCCATTATAACGTACGTGTTTTGATACTGTATGTTCTAAGTACATCTCGCAATCCCTAATCACTCCCTAATGCAGGTTTGTATATCTCACTGTCAACATTTTTCTGTTTCTTGATTTGTCACAGGTAGGCGCTGGACATTTTTTGACCAATATATTGTCAGGATGTGTGGTAAGTAAAAAGATTGTCGCCTGGAGTAATTTGAGTATGTAGCCCTCTATTTCTCCGTGCCATACAAAAGTACGACCTCAACAAAGCCGTAGATTTTTATTTGGTAGTTAATGACGTATTTGCCTTGTTGATACGGTTTTTTTTAAAGAATTTTTTCATTCCTCATTTTTTATTTCACCGCTTTCCAAACTTTAACTTGTTTTTTTATTTCCATTTAGCTACATTGGGAAGTCCTGTTGGTCAGTGATTGTGAAAATGTCGGTTCTATCCTATTGGTGGTGTGATCTACTATAGATGCATATTCGGGTAGTCAGTTCAGTTTGGTTCGAGCATGTTGTTGTATAACATAGGAAGCAGTCATTATCTGCAAGATCAAGATCTTCAGACATTTGGTAAGTTCCGCTCGTTTCTATGATGTTGTTTGTAGTCTTCTACACGATTCAATGAAGTAGCATCAATGGTGAAATCTGACATTCCTGCTTTACCCATGTTTGCATTTGAATGTATTTGTTAATTTTCCCTTGTGATTACCTGACAGACACGGTTGTTGGAGAGTTGCTGTACGAAGGATATCTTCTTCTTTTCTTCTTCGTTCTTAATTTTTAGTGTTGGAAGTGTCGCCAGAGACTTTGTTCGAATGTATCAACCATTAGCTTATTCGGACTCGACCACGCCTCCATCAAAATTAAGGATACGTGTCAACTTGTTATGCGCCATTGAGGCCATTGACTCCTGTTTTCAGCCGGCTTTTCTTTTTGGATTTGCTTCCATAGCCTTTGTCCAACCAAGAACAAACTAAAAGGCAGCAGTTGTTTAATTTTGGAGTTGTCTCTCCTAGAAGGGTAGCTGTCCTCAGCCTCATCTGCCCGATGGTTCGAACTCGAGACTTTTCGGTTTAACAACAATGAGCTTTACCGCCTCGACCACGCTGACCCCTACAATGGATATAAAATCGAACGATTTTCTCATTTGAGAGAGGGCATTGTAGAATGGTAGAGCGTTTGACAGCTAACTTGAAAGTCTCTAGTTTAGCTCCAGGGCTTGAGTTTGTACACGGTGTCCACCTAGTTAGAACGGGTAGCCAGCTCACGTTAGAGAAAGTAAAGACGACCGTGCGTATTGCTGTCCACACTATCCAGTTATATGCTGAGTTCACTTGAATAGATGTACTCTAATTCACATGCCCCGTGGACGGTAAGGTTCGAAGTGTACTTTATTATTACATTCATCTATTTAAATCTACTTCAGTAGAGATTTTTTTTTTCTGCAGGTAAAGCTAGGTCTGCATTTAATGCCCCTGGTGTAACCCATCTTACATTGCTAAATTGTGTGAGTATTGAACTTTATAAACGATGTAAGAATATATAAATATACATAGCTCTTGTCATATTCAAATTAAGAATAAATATACAATCACAAAGTTTTGTTAGTTCCCGTAGAGGCATTTAACCCAGAATAGTGTCAGCTGTTTTGCCGGTATGGTTGTTCAGTATAAGTTAAGGGCGTAGTTAGGATAATAATTATAATTAATGAGTCTTATTAACTTTAAATTGTTTTGTCGCTTCGAATATACAATGATAATAATCAATCCTTTACATTGCTATTAATCTGCGATTACAGAATGTACTAAATTTCAGGAAATATGCAGAGAATTCTGCTGTTGGCGTGTTTGCTGCCTTTTTTTTTTGGTAAGTTGTTGATGATTTGTTTGCTATTAAAAATTCGTGTAATTAAAGTTATCAAAGTTAATTTACATTAACTTAAGCTTGTGGTATTTCACGAAACTGCCTTATATGTATTTTTTTAAACTCAAAATTAATTTAAAAAATCGTTAGGAGTAGCCTACGCATCAAACATTTCAGACAACCAAATACTTTTTCAACAATATAAAAGTTTCGGACTACTAATTAGGAAAGAGACGTTACTTGCGAAATAATTTAGCTTTTGTAAGAATAAAAAGTTGGCTGAACTGTTGCCTTGGGGAATAGGGGTGCGGAGTGTTGTGATGTGATGTGTAATGTGTTCTGCGTCCCGATGTGCGAAGAAATATTGCCATTTCGGTTATCCAACTACTTAGTTTTTTCTATCAACAATTCGCCTTTTGAAATGTGAAATTAAGCTTCATATTATATGAATTACTAAAGTAGTTGTGATGTGTTTTGTGATCTGCGTGTGTATGTGAGTGTATGTGTGTGGGCGCGTGTGTGCTTGTTTGTGTGTGTGTGTGTGTGTGTGTGGGAGAGTGTGTGTGTGTGGCTGTGTTGTTTGTAGCTACATTTATTTTTTTTTCTTCGTTCTTAATAGTAATAATGGAAGAGATCTCCAACAAAAAGTATTACTTGTCGACTTGTTATGCGTCATATAGCCATTAGATTCCGATTTCCGCCCGCTTAACTTTCTGGATTTGCTTCATAGCCTCTGTCCAAACAAGAACAAACTACACGGCAGCATCTGTTTCATTTTGAGTTTACTTTTTCCTAGAGGGGTTGCTGCTGTCCACAGCTATCGATCCTCAACTGCCCAGGTAGCTAACTTTAAATGCCAACGTTTTGTTTATTGCCTGAATCCCTTCATCAGATAAAGTACAGAGCCGAAACAACCGAACGTCGTTTGTTAAGAAAAAATTGAACTTTGAAGCAAACTGCATCAAATACTATAGCCAGCACACTGGGAGATTTCTGGAACCGGATTGGCATCCCTGCTATGAACTGGGACCCACAAACTTCCTCTGTACATCACATGGACCTCATGCATGTGTTGATGAGAAGGTGTTTGAAATATACAGGAATGTTGATGTACGCAAAGCGTAAGTCTTCAAAAAAAAAAAAGACACGCGGTTTTTATCTTCTCGTATATCAAGTAGGGAAATTATTTTAATTAAGCGATAATCGGAAATGAGATTTTCAAAATTTTCTACGTTTTACACCCTCTTGCAGGGGACGGAGTGGTCTAGCGGTAGAGAGTTAGACTGCTAACCCGTAAGTCTCGAGTCCGAATCCGGGTTCAAGTCAGTAGACCGTCCCTGAGTCCACCCAACTCTGATGGGTACCTATCTCATGTTAGGGAAAGTAAAGGCGGCTGGGCATAGTCCTGACCACACTATCTCTTCATATGCCGAGGTCAGAGAAACAAGTGAACTCTACTTCACTTGCCCTATAGACCGTTAGGTTTAAAAAGGGAACTTTTACTTTCACACAATCTTGAGTTGAAAAAACTCAGTTTTGCAGACTTTTCTGCATGACTCTCTCTCTCTCTCTCTCTCTCTCTCTCTCTCTCTCTCTCTCTCTCTATATATATATATATATATATATATATATATATATATATATATATAAAGGGAAATAACTGTAATAATATAAATTGAATGATAGCGTTAATGTTTCGTTAACTTAATCCATATGTAAAACACAAACATAGATACAGCAGTTAGAATAATATAGTTACGTTGCAGACTTTCTTAATAATACAAATCCGCGTTTTATTTCGTATTTAAGATTAATGTGATCGACAGAATCACTTATATAATTTTGTATATAACCCATATAATATACCTGTATAATAAAATAATTTGTAATGAAAATAAAACTAGCCCCAAGCACCCTTTACGTAGTAAATACCTATGGAGGAAAATGTTTAGTTTTCGAATTAAAACTCGGTAAAATGCGACCGCTACCCTTTCATTATTCATCCATTAATGCATTTGGCTTTTGTTTTCGACGTGAAACAATTGTGTCGGGAAGAGCAACTGGCTCTCTAATATTTTTTTTTTGTTAAATCCTTTTTACAAATACCACTTTTAAAACTCGATTTTACCATAAGACCCAATCTTTAACAAAGGGAGCTCACTCCAACTTAGTTTTTAAAAAAAAAAGAATTAATTATATAGAACATGCTTGGTTTTCTCTATAGAAACTGTTTAATCATTATTTCAACTAAACATTTATCGTAAAAAAATATTTAATTAAAAAAAAAGGAAACAGTCAAAGTGACCATTTTCGAAGTATTCTTCATTCTGCTTGAATCACTGTTACGTATGATATAAAGATTATAGTTAACTATTTCTTCCAGACTTGTCACATCCCCCCTCCCCTTCCCCCCCCCCCCCCCCAACCAACGTGGAGCTGGAGTGGTAAACTCCCCACTTCCACCCAGTCTGAAAAACAAAAGGAAATGTATTTTAAATATTTCAATAGAACTTTTTTTTTGCTTCCACCATTTTTATTTTATTGCACCTTCTAAAAGTGTCGAACCACCCCTCCCCTACCTCTGAGCAAAATATCTGAAGAAAACCAATAAGGTTGGTTTAAAAAAACAATGTTTTTTAAGCTTTTGATATGTTAAGGGTTAAAATGTTTATTTGATGAACATTGATTAAAACTGTTTCTTTTTCAGCTATGTTCGCTCTAATAAATTTGAACCTAGTTGGAAATTTAATCTGATCTACCTATCAATATATTTTTGGGTGCTAGTTATCTATACTATTTTCTTGTGGATAGAGGTGTATAGACTACGTAGGATATTATATAGAGAATATTAAAACTCTTTTACTAAAGTAAGAACTTGTAACGAATGAATTCGCCAATTCCACCAGAAAATTGAATGTGTCGACTGCAACCAATCTATTTATCGATTGTTTGTTATCATCTGTAGCATGTTCAGGCATTGTACATCTCAGAGCTTTTTGTCTGATTTTAAGAATTAATCAAGCTTCACAGAATCACTTGTATTCAGCCAAAAATACAACAAATTATAATATTTTATCCAGATTCAAATATAAGCTAATGTTTATAAATACATAAATGATTGAATGTGATATTATATATATATATATATATATATATATATATATATATATATATATATATATATATATATATATATATATATATATATATATATATATATATATATATATTTATCATCCATGCAAACATCAATTTAAAAAGAAGGTAAAACAACAAGATTATTCAAAATGTATTTCTCAATTATTTTTACATTTTTTTTCAAGAACACTCAACTATTAAATTTGTTTCTAAATAACTAGATTAGCATTATACTCGAATTTGTATTATTCATAGCTACCATCTAATTGTAATATATATAAAAGAAGGAATTTATATACTTTTAAAATTTTAAACAGGTTAGAGCATTTCGTACTTTTTAAAGCTATGCAACAACTCTAAGCAGTTCTTAATGTACGCTTTTGATTTTAAATAAAGTGTATCTACCATAATACCTGTGTTACCTGTTTTAATGGATGGTCTTCGTTATTATTTTCAGTTGTGTACTGTTTTTTTGTTTTCAGTTATTCAGTTTGTAATACAAAGAGCACTCAAACCACTTTTTACTTATATTAGAATCAAATTAAATACCGACAGGCCGGAGGTATCAATATAATATGCATATTGTTGTCTATCATTGCCGTAATATGCTAGTTTAAATAAATTAACTATAGTGGAATTAATTTTTCTCATTTATTTTTATTTTTTAGCAATTAGATTAAATCGAAAGCAGTATATGTTTTGAAATATACTAGCTAGCAAGTACAAGAAACAGAAGTCGGTGACATAATTACAAGCCTAATAGCAAGTGTGATTATTCGTTTATCTCTAAATAATTTGACTCTTAAAGATTCTCCATGTTTTTAAATAAAGTGGTTTAGATTACTTGTATTTATAGCGATATGTATGCTTGTTTACAAAATATTATAAGAAAAAATAAAAGAGCACTACATAATGCTACACTCAAAACACTAACAGCACGTCATTCTTAAAATACACCTACACATCACGTGCAGTTCCTCATTATGCGGATCTGTTAGACAATAAAACTCCAACCTTAATTTTATCTGAAAAGTGACAGGTTTTACCTGGGTGTAAGACGTAACCTAACCATACCCCACCCGGTTATTAGCCCCAAATCAATTGCCTACTCTCAGTTACCACCCTGTGTCATTACTATACTACAAAATTCATATTATACCAATACCTATCACATTCTTTCCCAATAACAGATCTCCAAACCCTTAACCCTGCTTCAGGACAAAACAACGATCTATGTCAGATGTGATGAACAGCGTGACAGATATCCCCCAACTTGATTTTATAGAATAGACAGTTAACCTTAAAATATCATCTCACAGCTTGTTAACCTAGGTTAAATTAATCATTACCAAATTTTGACAAAACGCGTGTGAACAAATCCTTACCAACCTATGATCAAACCCTAACTATGCTCAAAGCAATAGTGATCAAAGAAACTGTGATCAGACACCCTATGGTCAAAGCCACAGTGTGATGATAGGCCTACTAACTATGGTCAAATAACCTATGATCAAACCCCAACTATGCACAAAGCAATAGTGATAAAAAACTATGATCAGACACCCTATGGTAAAAGCTCTGCTCTGGACAAGCACCTAAGGTCAATCACTTGTGGTCAAAACACCTGAGTTCGAATCCCATCTGTGGACAAAGTACGTTTGGTAAACCACCTTTAATCAAAACACCTGTGGTCAAAGATCCGCGAACCGAAACAACGTGTGTGAACAACAACATTACAATTAAATGTAAGCAAAATATTATAATTGATCTAAAACCATTATCACTACCTTGCAAGGTGGATCAAATTTGTATTATATCACATAATTAAAGACGAAAAAAATAACAACTGATAAAATGTTGTTTTTTTTTATTTTATTTTTTTTGGAATGACTTTTAAAACTACGGTGTTAAAGAAATTTATCCGTATTTGTTAATTGTGATAGTTACCGAAAACTGAGAAGCCGTATATGTTATGTTATTCCAAAAGAGAAATATAAATTGTTCTTTTCAGACAAATATTTACATCATTTTAAAATAACGAATGTCTGGAAGTTAAATATACATATTAATAAGTGTAACACAAAGCTTGTGGTGTAAACTTTATTGAACGGTAAATTAAAAGTATAAAACATAGTATAAGTAATGGAAAATATCAAAATAAAATAATTATTTTCTTAGAGTGGTCATTATGTCGGATGTCACCCGATGTGGGCACTGGCGATGTTACCTACCCACTTCAGGAATTTTACATTTTTGATTTGGTACAACCAATCTTCCCACCATTTAGTCACTCCCTAGTTGGTGTCATTCACCTACCTATCCTACACTATAGATTGTAATAATAAAATTAAATACCCCAACGACACTCTGTGTATTCAAAAGAATTACTTATTTATCAATCGTATCAATAGTACTAACATTTAAACTCTATTATCAATTGCTAGCAATAATAATTAAATAAACTTTAAAATATTACCAGCATTGCAGTAGAAATAATTTTTAAACGAACCACCTAAAAATAGAAAATTAAAAAACAAAGAAAAACACATAAATATACTTAGATTATTTGGCGTTTAAATTAAGTACCTAATAAGTATTGCTACAGCATCCAGTTGCAGAGTTCTACACTTAAGTCGAGCAACTACATATTTGTGACCACCTCTCCCTGTTGTGGGAATATCTTTTCAGTAGCTGTATAACAACCATCTAATAATCCCAAAACGTAAAACGTGTATCGGTAACATAACATTCTGAGCATGCGACTTAAAATTTTGCCGTACGAATATTGCATCAATTTTCGTGCACTTTATTTGCTTTGTATTATTCCATATATTAGTAAGGTTGTTGTTTTTAATATACCTATCTTTAAATAATAATCACAACGTGTGATCCTTTAAAAATGTCCGTATTATAAATAAATAAATTATATATAGAAATTATATATGATTACATATATATATATATATATATATATATATATATATATATATATATATATATATATATATATATATATATATATATATATATATGTATGTATATAGAAGAGAAGTAAGTTTAGGGTATATGGAAGTAAGTTTAGGGTCCTCTACACCAAAATTTAGCATTATTGGTTATTTGAATTCCACCCAATCGGAGAGCTATTAATTTCGTACATATGTATCCAGTAGCGCAAACACATATTACTGAGTAAATATTGGGAAACAAAACAAAACAAAAAAGCTACATAACTTTACCAATCAACACAAAACACAACCCCCCCCCCCCTAATCCAAACCCCTTTCCAAAACGCAATAACAATATTATAGATCTAATTTTTGTCAGAAAGGAACAATTTCATCTTTTGGTAGAGTAACTGGTATAAAATTTGAACATGGGATTTCAACCGTACAGTATATTATTTTGTTAAAGTACTCTTCAAACGAATTCAGCATTGTTTGATCATCAGGTTCGTTCGAAACTAAGACAAACAATTTTTTCTTGTAGGTCATTGCACCGTATAAATTTCTCCTAACAGTCCACAATCTTCCCAAAAATATGAATATGACTTTTTCAGATGAATAGTTTATGCTCCACAAATCTCCATCAGCTTGTAATACATAAGTATTGTTGTCATCACTGAAACTTGTTATGTGTTCAGCTGGTCCATTCAATTGTTCTAATTCTGTTAATTTTTTTGTTAGAATGTCCAGCTGATGAACTGCAGTTTTCTCTTCACCATTGACGGTAACAGAACTGAAAATCAGAATCATCCTCTGATAATTTATAGCATGTTGTACTTTTATTGTCTCTGGTAGCTTTGTAAATTCTTCAACTTTTGGTTTACTGTTTTTAGGGTATAATTGATAAATTTCACTAGAACATTTACTAAGAATAAAGATACACTGTTCATATGGCACTAAAATTAACTGCCGTCCTGGTATTTCAGCGATCTTATTCCAAGCAATTCTACAGAAAACAAACAGACAGCTGTTTGTTTGAGACACGTCTTTAACACCACTGGCGTATAGATAAGAGTCAAATACAACTAAAGTTACGTCCAGAGGTATATCGCTACAGCGAACACATTTGTAAACCTTATGTTCACATGCAGAGACACATTTAAAATCACCATTTATTATACGCACAACACCGTAATGCTCCCATTTACTAGAGGCTCGATGTATGGCACTTGTTCGCCATTGTCCGTGGTTATAATGTGTTGTCTTATACAACACCGCATCCATTAAAATACGCTCAGCTTCTTTGTTGTTGATTATCAATTGCTGATTTAGCAGATGTTTCAGAAGTGATGTACTCACAAGACACGTCCGCACAGACTTCAATAAAGTTGTCAAGGCTTGAGATCTGTGATTTATTTTATTCAACGTTTGTTTATGGACTGCCGTAAGACTTTTGCCAGATTCATTACTAGAATTATTAGTAGTGTTTTGTTTTATCTCAGAATAAACATCCTCATTGTTAGCACAACACTTCTCTTCAGGCACATACTCAACCCACTTTAGCACTGTTTGTATGACCAAGTCTTCGTTTTCTACATTTAGATCCCGTGAATCAATCAATTCATTGAAATCTTTAACTTCTAGCTCCATTATAGGCTTGTCGTTCATAAGTATGCCGAAGTTATTTAACATAAAAGATTTTGAAGCATTCAACACTTTTTCGGATTTAAAAGCTTTAGCTGTATTCACAACGTTTTCAATGTTTTCAACGGAAATGGCCTTTGCAGCGAAATCCTCACAGTGTGTAACAATAAAGTCTATCTGTAGTTGATCTGCTGCCTGCCATATGTCTATAAAATTATCTGTTGTCAAAGGAACTTTTCCAGTATACATTGACTTCAAAATGAGCTGAAATGTTTTAAGAGAAATCCCATTGATCGTTACACAACCCTCTTTAGCCTCCTTCATGTCTGTCATTAAAAGTGCTCTGAAGAAATGTGACGACGCTGCTAGAAAAATACGGTGACATGGCAGAGAAACG